CCCAGGGTGTTATGCTATCATACCCAGGGTGTTATGCTAGCATACCCAGGGTGTTATGCTATCATACCCAGGGTGTTATGCTATCATACCCAGGGTGTTATGCTATCATACCCAGGGTGTTATCCTATCATACCCAGGGTGTTATGCTATCATACCCAGGGTGTTATGCTATCATACCCAGGGTGTTATGCTATCATACCCAGGGTGTTATGCTATCATACCCAGGGTGTTATGCTAGCATATCCAGGGTGTTAAGCTATCATACCCAGGGTGTTATGCTAGCATACCCAGGGTGTTATGCTAGCATACCCAGGGTGTTATGCTACCATACCCAGGGTGTTAAGCTATCATACCCAGGGTGTTATGCTAGCATACCCAGGGTGTTATGCTAGCATACCCAGGGTGTTAAGCTATCATACCCAGGGTGTTATGCTATCATACCCAGGGTGTTATGGTAGCATACCCAGGGTGTTAAGCTATCATACCCAGGGTGTTATGCCATCATACCCAGGGTGTTATGCTAGCATACCCAGGGTGTTAAGCTATCATACCTAGGGTGTTATGCTATCATACCCAGGGTGTTATGCTAGCATACCCAGGGTGTTAAGCTATCATACTCAGGGTGTTATGCTATCATACCCAGGGTGTTATGCTATCATACCCAGGGTGTTATGCTAGCATACCCAGGGTGTTAAGCTAGCATACCCAGGGTGTTAAGCTATCATACCCAGGGTGTTATGCTATCATACCCAGGGTGTTATGCTATCATACCCAGGGTGTTATGATATCATACCCAGGGTGTTATGCTATCATACCCAGTGTGTTATGCTAGCATACCCAGGGTGTTATGCTATCATACCCAGGGTGTTATGCAATCATACCCAGGATGTTATGCTATCATACCCAGGGTGTTATCCTATCATACCCAGGGTGTTATGCTATCATACCAGGGTGTTATCCTATCATACCCAGGGTGTTATGCTATCATACCCAGGGTGTTATGCTATCATACCCAGGGTGTTATGCTATCATACCAGGGTGTTATGCTATCATACCCAGGGTGTTATGCTATCATACCCAGGGTGTTATGCTAGCATACCCAGGGTGTTATGCTATCATACCCAGGGTGTCATGCTATCATACCCAGGGTGTTATGCTATCATACCCAGGGTGTTATACTATCGTACCCAGGTTGTTATGATATCGTACCCATGGTGTTATGCTATCATACCCAGGGTGTTATGCTATCCCAACACCTTTGGTGACAATCCCCAACTAAGGCAGGAGTCAGTATAAGGGCCGATATTAAGGGCTACTTGGAAGGTCGGGGCGAGACATTCCGGTAGATTAGCGGGAGCCCGAGGGTGCGGGCGAGGAGCAACAATAGCGGGGCTTTGTTTACAAGGTGGCACCCATACACGGTAAGTGGACCACACTGATTAAACTCCCAGAGCCACCGCCGGTCGCCCCTTTGATCTGTCTGGCCTGTAATTGGTAAGTGACACGACTCCCCCTTCTCCCCTTCTCCCAGGGGGATGGTATAGGGAGGGGGGTAGAGAGATGGGATGGAAGGGAAAGGGAAGGAGGAGGGAAGGACACACATGAATCAGAAAGAGAGAGCAGCGAGAAGAGAGGAGGTAAGGAAGGAGATTGGGCAATAGAAAGGAGAGAGAGGGTCGTTAAGAGGAACGTTGAGAGGAGGAGAGAGAAAGGGAGGGAGAGAAGGAGCAATAACTGAAGAAGGAACAACAACTACAGAAGGAACAACACCTGCAGGAACAACACTAAGTACTTGTTATATGATGGAGAACTTAGCCGCACCAAGTACACCACCACATAACACCACACACACCACCACACGACACTGTACAGGTCAGCAGCAAGTACACCACCACATAACACCACACACACACCACCACACGACACTGTACAGGTCAGCAGCAACACCACCACATAACACCACACACACCACCACACGACACTGTACAGGTCAGCAGCAAGTACACCACCACATAACACCACACACACCACCACACCACACTGTACAGGTCAGCAGCAACACCACCACATAACACCACACACACCACCACACCACACTGTACAGGTCAGCAGCAACACCACCACATAACACCACACACACCACCACACCACACTGTACAGGTCAGCAGCAACACCACCACATAACACCACACACACCACCACACGACACTGTACAGGTCAGCAGCAACACCACCACATAACACCACACACACCACCACACCACACTGTACAGGTCAGCAGCAACACCATCAACGGCCGCCTCACTACCAAAGACCACCACAAGTCACAATGTTGGAAAGATTCTGCACAAAATGTGACAATTATTTAGCAATATATACTGCCAGAGATGACGGTCTGAGAAACTGGCTCAACACAGCTTGTTGACAAGCTATGGGGGGACGGGGGGGGGATGATCCACCCTGAGAGTATACCAAAGCTACGAAGATGCCCCCTGAGAGTATACCAAAGCTACGAAGATCCCCCTTGAGAGTATACCAAAGCTACGAAGATGCCCCCTGAGAGTATACCAAAGCTACGAAGATCCCCCCTGAGAGTATACCAAAGCTACGAAGATCCCCCTTGAGAGTATAACAAAGCTACGAAGATCCCCCCCTGAGAGTATACCAAAGCTACGAAGATCCCCCCTGAGAGTATACCAAAGCTACGAAGATGCCCCCTGAGAGTATACCAAAGCTACGAAGATCCCCCTTGAGAGTATACCAAAGCTACGAAGATGCCCCCTGAGAGTATACCAAAGCTACGAAGATCCCCCTGAGAGTATACCAAAGCTACGAAGATCCCCCTTGAGAGTATAACAAAGCTACGAAGATCCCCCTGAGAGTATACCAAAGCTACGAAGATCCCCCTGAGAGTATACCAAAGCTACGAAGATCCCCCCTGAGAGTATACCAAAGCTACGAAGATCCCCCCTGAGAGTATACCAAAGCTACGAAGATCTCCCTTGAGAGTATACCAAAGCTACGAAGATCCCCCTGAGAGTATACCAAAGCTACGAAGATCCCCCCTGAGAGTATACCAAAGCTACGAAGATCCCCCCTGAGAGTATACCAAAGCTACGAAGATCCCCCTTGAGAGTATAAAAAAGCTACGAAGATCCCCCTTGAGAGTATACCAAAGCTACGAAGATCCCCCCTGAGAGTATACCAAAGCTACGAAGATCCCCCCTGAGAGTATACCAAAGCTCCAACGATCCACCCTGAGAGTATACTAAAGCTACGAAGATCCACCCTGAGAGTATACCAAAGCTCCAACGATCCACCCTGAGAGTATACCAAAGCTACGAAGATCCCCCCTGAGAGTATACCAAAGCTCCAACGATCCACCCTGAGAGTATACTAAAGCTACGAAGATCCACCCTGAGAGTATACCAAAGCTGCAACAGTTAGCAAGCAATGAAAGCGCCATGATTGAAGAGATGATGAAAACAAACAACGTGATAAAGGAATAGTTGCATCGAGTGAAGCAGAACCCAAATTATCTTTCAAACTAATAAGGAAGGCGAACATGATCAAGAGAACTCAATATGAGAGTGAAATATTATAGGAAGAGACGTGCGTGGCTGTAAATGAGGTCTGCCACAGCCAACACACACGAGCTATGCCAGACACGTAGCTCTATCACAACTTGTTGGCTAGACCAACCAGCCGTGAAGTAAATGAATATTAGTAATATATCTCCCTGGGTACTAAAAGAATGTGCTGAAGGTCTTTGCTACCTGTATTAGTCTGGATTGTTCTCCAAATATTCCTGGAGTGTAAACTGGCCAAGACATGGAAAATCACAAGCATTATCACTCAATATACGAGAAGAAATACCTACAATACCATAAAGTATGGTTCAGTATTCCTAATAAATGAGGGCAATGAGGACACAATATCGGATGCACGACGTAGATAGTAACAACCTACTAATATGGAAAGCAGTTTCAGTTTCATCGTCTACCAAAAGATCAAACATATGTTAAAGACGAGACAGAGCACAGCTCTCTTATGCAATTTCAAATAGGCAATCGTAGTTAGGCAAATCTCACACACACACTCACACTCACACACATAGGGGGTCTGGCAGCTGAGTGGACAGCCTGCAGGACTCTTAATTCTGTGGCCCAGGATCGATTCCCGGACCTGGCAGAAACAAATGGGCAAAGTTTCTTTCACCCAGAATGCCCCTGTTACCTAGCAGTAAATAGGTACCTACCTGGGAGTTAGACAGCTGTTACGGAATGCTTCCTGTGTGTGTGTGTGTGTGTGTGTGTGTGTGTGTGTGTGTGTGTGTGTGTGTGTGTGTGTGTGTGTGTGTGTGTGTGTGTGTACTCACCTAGTTGTACTCACCTATTTGTGCTTCCGAGGGATGAGCTTTGGCTCTTTGGTCCTGCCTCTCAACCGTCAATCAACTGGTGTACAGATTCCTGAGCCTACTGGGCTCTAGCCTACTACTCTGACACTGAAAAAGTTCTATCTAACGTCTCTGTGGCACATTTGGTTACTCAGTTTCCACCTGTGTCCCCTTGTTCGCGTCCCACCAGTGTTGAATAGTTTATCCTTATCTACCCTGTCAATTCCTTTTGGAGATTTTGTAGGTAGTGATCATGTCTCCCCTTACTCTTCTGTCGTCAGGTGCATTTCCTGCAGCCTTTCCTCGTAACTCGTGCCTGTTAGTTCTGGGACTAGTCTAGTGGCATACCTCTGAACTTTTTCCAGCTTCGTCTTGTGCTTGACAAGGTACGGGCTCCATGCTGGGGCCGCATACTCCAGGACGTGGCCTGGTTCAGGTCACTATACAACACTGCTGCCACCGCTGGCCTCCTCACCTCCTTGTTCACACCATCATTGTCTGCCAATAACGTCACCTTCACCAACTACCTCACCACCACACAAATACTTGTAGAAAACCTATCGCAAAACGGTTGTTAGTGGATCAGACATTCTTGGGGATAGTGAATGGACCAACACACCTTGTGGGCTTTGGTCTGTTCCATCTTACACGCCTTCACCTCCACGACGCTCTCACACCACCTCCACGACGCCCTCACACCACTAGCACCTCCACGACGCTCTCACACACCTCCACGACGCCCTCACACCTCCACGACGCCCTCACACCACCACGACGCCCTCACACCTCCTCCACGACGCCCTCACACCTCCACGACGCTCTCACACCACCTCCACGACGCCCTCACACCTCCACGACGCTCTCACACCACCTCCACGACGCCCTCACACCTCCACGACGCCCTCACACCACCACGACGCCCTCACACCTCCTCCACGACGCCCTCACACCACCACGACGCCCTCACACCACCACGACGCCCTCACACCTCCTCCACGACGCCCTCACACCTCCACGACGCCCTCACACCACCACCACGACGCCCTCACACCTCCTCCACGACGCCCTCACACCTCCACGACGCTCTCACACCACCTCCACGACGCCCTCACACCTCCACGACGCCCTCACACCTCCTCCACGACGCCCTCACACCACCACGACGCTCTCACACCTCCTCCACGACGCCCTCACACCTCCACGACGCTCTCACCACCACCTCCACGACGCACTCACACCTCCACGACGCCCTCACAACACCACGACGCCCTCACACCACCACGACGCCCTCACACCCTCCTCCACGACGCCCCACCACCTCCACGACGCCCTCACACCACCACCACGACGCCCTCACACCTCCTCCAACGACGCCCCTCACACCCTCCACGACGCTCTCACACCACCTCCACGACGCCCTCACACCCTCCACGACGCCCTCACAACCTCCTCCCACGACGCCCTCACACCACCAACGACGCTACTCACGAACCTCCTCCTCCACGACGCCCTCACACCTCCACGACGCCCTCCACGACGCTCTCACACCACCTCCACGACGCCCTCACACCTCCACGACGCCCACACCACCACCACGACGCACTCACACCTCCTCCACGACGCCCTCACACCTCCACGACGC